ACCAGCTTGTGAAACACTTTTATTTACAGGAGCTGAAATGCAACAACCGGCTGATTTTGCTTTAATGAATGCTTCTATTTAGCCGAGTTTTTGGTCATCCTCCGCCCCGTCTCCCCATCGTTTTCAGCTCCCAATCAAACGCCACCAATTTCCAATCCGCCTCACCCTGCTACAGCCAGGACCGCAAAGTGCTTTCGAGATGTCAAAACATCTGGAGAGAGGGATTAGGTAGAAGTTGCAATTGAAGCAAAAGGTTTTTTAAGATGGGGGAGGGAGGGAGGGAGGGAGAGAGTGGGGGGGGGAGTGAGTGAGGGAGGGATGGAGAGAGGAAGAGAGAGTGAGTGAGATAGGGAGGGAGGAAGGGAGGGAGGGAGAGAGTGGGGGGGGGGAGTGAGTGAGGGAGGGATGGAGAGGAAGAGAGAGTGAGTGAGATAGGGAGGGAGGAAGGGAGGGAGGGAGCGAAGGCAGAAGGATTTGGGGAGGGACAGTCCTAGAAAGCAGCGACATAGTGGTTGTAGTGGTTGAAAGCTCGATCGCCAATAGTGAGGCAAGAGAGGGATGAGGGAGGGCAGGAGGCCATGTTTGCACAGGAGAGGGTGTGAGAGAGAGAGTACAAACGGGCTGGACCTGAAGAAGGGCACTGGTGGGGTCGGCTTTTGAAAGTTTTTAAGTCCACAGCAACAAATTCCAAGGCAAAGGTGTTGCTTCCTCAGAGTCCTCAGCCCATTTCTAGGGAGAAATTCCACCCGAGTCTGTTTATTTTTGGTCAGCCGGGTCTCTGACACGTGTAAACCCATCACCGTGATTGAGAGTATTCAAACCACACTGTGTGCCACCCACATATTGAAATTTCCCTGTGGCTGGAATGGAGTGCGCACTCTCTCTCTCTCTCTTTCTCTCTCTCCCCCCCTGGGGGGACGCAACCTGCTTACCTAATTCCGGAGAGTATTAGGCGCTGGTTGGCTGCTTGGGAGACACCAGAATGTGTGTTTGGGGTAACTGCTGGAGTCTAACCAGCTAAAACCACGTAGCTTGCCATTTATATCGCTGCCTGGCAAGCTTTCCCACTGCTTGTCCAGCTAGGACCGCCCTACCCATTAGGGCTTTGGTTTGTAGGGTTAACAGGAGGTGAGTGGGATGACTCCCTGTCCCCAGTGACTGGTTGACCCTTCCAGGTCCTGCCGATGAGCCAGGCCGGGCTGTGCTTTCATCATTAGTGAGTGCCCTGGGATACCGTGGAGCCACCTGGCTCAGGAACAGAACAGGAGACCGTCACCGAGGGTGCGCTCGATATTCTGTGGCCCAGCAGTTTATCTTGTAGCCACCTCAGCTCCGAGGACCTCCTTTACCTCCCTCCCTCCCCCATGGAGCACAGTCACGAGTCAGTCAATTGACCCAAAGTTAGAATGAAGATCTTGAAGTGAATTCCCTTGGGGGTGGGGGGGCAGGGAGCCAGTGGAGCCTCGGGAGGGTGGGGCGCTGGGTGAGGGCGTGGATTGAATGACCAATATTTTTTTGAAGGGCTTATTACCCCAGGAAAGTGATCCGCCAATCAACGAACAACCGGGTTCCCACTTACTGCTCTAAGCAGAGGTGTGTGTGTGTGTGTATGTGTGTGGAGTACGGAAACGTGCTCAAAGTTTCACCCTGACCTGACCCGCCCGGGAATCCGACCCGGGGTCCTCTCGCTACCGCTTTAACCACAACGTTAAAGGGCTCCGCATATTAATTTTTGACAACCAGATTCCTGCGAGAAGCTTTGGGAAGTTCCGACGTTGTAGGAGCCCCGTGTCGAAGGCAAGGTGTAAGGATTGGGTGGGGGGGGGTGTGGCGGGGGGACTGGCCAGGAGAGGGGAGAAAAGGAGAAACCCAAAGGGGGATGGACTGGGGGCGGGGGTTGTGGGGGGTTGTGGGGGGGGAGAGAAAACATCAGAAACCAGGTTTTTGTGCTGAAATTTGCATCTCCACACCTCCACCAGTGGAAAGTAGGTCAGCAGGATGCGTTGTACCTTTCCCCGAGTCTATGGGGAAACAAAACACCGGCTCCCTTTGCTCTCTGCTGCCTGCGCTGGGAAGAGGTGCGCGCGAGAGTGTGTGTGTGTGTGTCTGTGTGTGTTAGCACTTGATTCAAAGGGCCAATTAATTACTGGTTACTGACGCTAGTTAATGAGCCTGCGGGTTATTTCTTCATTTGAGAGTGTCTGGATTGCGAAGACTGGGTGGGAGTGGGGTGGGGTGGGGGGGGGGGAAGGAAGCTTTTATCTTGTTGCCTGAACCAGTGTCAAGCGCAGAGCGGCTGAGATGAAAGGAAGTACAGTACGGTACGGACCTGAGCTTCCATCAGCGCCATTCTCGCTGCCTCGCTCTCGCTGTTACGCGAGTTGCGTAAATCGTGTGTAAATGCTTGCGGACTGGGAAGGACATTCTGTGGATGTGGTCCCACACTGTATTTCTTTAAAGCGGTCAATTCAAAAAATAACAATAATAATAATAGTCATAATACTCCGCACCTTTGATATAGTGCCTTATCACGTCTTCGCGACGTGTATTTTCTGGGCGATCATATCAGGTCGTAACGCGCCCAGGCTATCAGGCCAGGATTGGGTTTGGCTTGCCTGTGGTCCTCAGGCTCAGGTTGTCACCGCTTGGCTCAGTTGGTAGCGTTCTCGCCTCTGAGTCAGAGGCTGTGGGTTCAAAACGCACGTTGAGGCTTTGAACTCACAGCCTCAGGATGACAATCCACTGCAGGTGTTGGGGGAACGCTGCATTAAAACGAACAATAACCCTCGCATTTGACACAGCGCCTTATCACGTCGTCGAGACGCCTCAAAGCGCTTCACAGGATACACCGTAAAGGTGGATTTAGCCATTTAACCTCTCATGATCAGGAAAGAAACAAACAAAAACATATTTTGCGACAGCTCACCACGTCTGAAACTTCTCATAGCGATTTTAGGTAGTTACAGTCAGCTGGTGAATATTTATTTATACACGGGCCTCGAGCGCTTAAAAGTCCGTAACAATTACATTTAAATCACTTCAATATTGGAATAATCGCTGCACCGGGCCACGGGAGACGGAGTCAGGACTGAGCGAGACAGGAGTGAAACTTTGCATCGTCCCGCTGGGAAATCTTCCCGCACCGATCCACGCAATGATGACAAACGACATCCAGAGCAGATCGACGCTGCCAGGCACTGTGTTGGTGAAGTAAAAAAAAAATAGGGAACGCGTGGATGGGATGGAACCTGCCAAGGGGTGAGGGAGAAGCTGAAATGGGATGCGTTGCCAAGGCAGTTCAGTTCAGCTCAGCTCAGCTCCCAACAAGTCCTACTTAAGCTGCGGTCATGTTGGCTCTTGGCTCGGTTGCTAACACTCTTGCCTCCGAGTCAGAAGGTTGTGGCTTCTCAAGCTGAGCTCTCACAGTCCGGGGCTGACCCTCCAATGCAGTGCTCGGGGGTGTGTTTCACTGTCGGAGGTTGCCATCGTTCGAGCCAGACATTAAACCCAGGTCCCGTCTGCCTGTTCGGGTGGACGTTAAAGATCCCATGGCGCTATTTGAAAATAGGAAAGGGGAGGGTTTCTCTCTGTCTCTCTCTGTCTCTCTCGCTCTCTCTGTCTCCCGGTGTCCTGATAAAATCGACCATTTGCTTTGCGGGTCGTTGCTGCGCGCACGTTAGATGCCGTGTTTCGCCTCCAAAGTACGCAGTCACTCCACTTTACAGCTTATCCCGTGAAGCGCTTTGGGATGTCCTCCTGACGTGAAAGGCTCCACGTAGAATCGCTCGTTCGCTTCTGCTGGCTGTCTATGGCTGTTTGTGGGTCTTTGCTGCGAACAAAATGGCTGTCGCCTTCACCTACAAAAGATATGGTCACCTCCCACGACTGACGGGACTGTTTGTGAAGCTCTTTGAGTCCCCAGGAACTCAATCAAAAGCGAGGATCAATGTATTATGAATCCAGTGAATGGGGACAGATGCGTGGTATGAACTGGTGACACTTTAAGGAGTGGAAGAGGGGAGCGAGGGAGGGAGGGAGGGAGGGAGGGAAGGGGAGAGCGAGGGAATCAAGGAAGAAGGGAGGGAAGGAAGGGGTTGACTGGAAATCTTACCAGGAGAGAAAAAAAAATGTGGAACAATTAAACCCACGCACAGAAAAAGCAATATTATGGAACAAGAGTAATTTGTATCTTGAAATGAACGTTTGCGGAGTGTGGCTGCACACCCACGGAGCTGCCAAATCTATTTGAGCCGTGCAGCAATCTCCAGACCAAACTCGCTTAATGTTTGCTTCGTGCCTCCGACGCTTTTCCCATTGTGTCTCTCCCCGTGACATGTTTTGTGTCTGAGGCTCTCGGGCAGGATGGATGCCGTCCTGAATTGTTTTTGCTGGGCTGTGAGGGTTCCTCACCCTCGCTTGTAAATCCCTGGCACCTCCCTGTCGCCCCCATCGCCTCCTCTGCTCTCTCCATTTCCCTCCCTTATCCCCTTGGATTCCTTGGGCCTCCTCCATCAATGGCCAAGCTCTGTGGGTCTCCACCTCTAACTTCAGGATCTCGCTCCCTCAACATCAGTCTCACTCCCCTCCCCTCCTTCCCGCCGCCCTTTTCCCTCCATCACCTTCAAGTCTCGCCAACCTCCTGGACCATGTCGACACGGTCATTGTCACCGTTCCTCTCTCCTTCTTCGTGTCTCCCTCCCCAGAGGGCGTTCTAAGGGACACCAAGCGGGAGATGTGACCTGGACTAGCGAGCTCCCTCCACCACCCCCCCCCACAAAGGATGGATGGACTCCATTCTGACATATTCTGTTACCAGACACAGTCACTTGGGTGCCGGTTGAACAAAACCCTATTATATAACCCTGGCCCCTGACCCCTGGTCCCTGACCCTAACGGCAACCAATGACATCTGCGTAGCGGCTTTCACCTCGGGAGGAGGTCCCAAGGCGCTGACCCTGACCCCGACGCTAACACTGACCCTCTTCTCTCTCCTGGCCCAGGCTGAGAAGGGGGAGGCGTGTGAGAAGGTGGTGGAGGAGGACGTGCTGGACATCCCGCTGGACGACGAGGAAGCCAACGCCGCCGCCGCCAAGATCCAGGCCAGTTTCCGCGGGCACATGACCAGGAAGAAGCTGAAGGGTGGGGAGAAGGAGGAGAGCGAGCGCAAGGTGGGCGGAGCCCTCGAGGAGGGGGAAGAGCCTGACGCGGGCGGGGCAGGCCCCGGCGAATCGGCGGACGCCACGGGCGGGGCAGAGGGTCAGAGCGAGGCTGGCGAGGAGGCCAAGGAGGGCGCGGCTGTGAACGGGGACCAATCAGAAACAGGTAGGAGGTTCCCACCCCCCACCTACTCACCCCCCATCTCCGCAAACACACCTCCCTTCCCTAATAATTCAACACACAAATATACTGGAGTCCTGTAGCTCAGTGGTTAAAGCCCTCGCAAGCGAGAGGACCTGGGTTTGGTTCCCGAGCGGGTCAGAGCGAAACCTCAGGCAAGTTTCCTTACTCCACACACACACTCACACACACACACCTGTGGTTACCAGCGGTAAGTAGGAACCCGGCTATTAGTCAATTGGAGGATCACTTGACCAGAGGATAATAATCCCTTCAAGAAAAATATATAATTGGTTGCTAACTCCACGACTGTTGGTGGGACACCGCTTTGAGACGTCCGTCTGTCCATCCTCCCAGACAGACAGCGCTGTGCAAACATAAGGTGACCAAAAAAGTCTTATGAGGTTACTCTAATAACGGTAGCGCAACATTTTGGTCACACTGTATAAACCGATGTCCTTTTGAGAAGAGGGAAGGACAGTTTGGAGAGGAGGAGAGGCTGATGTCTGGTCTGGTCTGACCTAGTTCCTGGTAAAGCCAGTGTGTTAGTTTGCTGCCAGGAGTTCTCTGCTATCGCTGTGATGATGAGCTACACTTTGGCGTTCCGCCCGGCCTCCAGTGCATTTCAGCCCTCAGTCACCATTCCCGAGATACTTTTCCTCCTCTCCCGAGCAACCCTAACCCGATTGTTGGTTGCTGGGCAGGACACCCTTCAGAAATCTTTTTTTTATTGATCAACCGGGTATCTGACACACCCGGAAACCCATTAAGAGTCTCCAACCCGACCGAGAATTCCATGCGTCCCACCTACACATGGAAATTTCAGAGATAGATTGTTGGAATGGAGTGCGCTCTCTCTCCCCCCCGGAGGGATGTAATTCCTAATTCCGGAAAGAATTAGGCGCAGATTGGCAAGAGCCAAGGCTTGGGCGTTGGGGTAACTGCTGGAGTCTAACCAACTAAAACCCCATAGCTTGGCCATTGGAATCACTGTCCGGCAAGCTTTCCCGCTGCCTGTCCAGCGAGGACCACCCTACCTGTCAGGGCTTCGGCTTGGAGGGCCTTTCAGAGAATTGCCCGTGAGAAGCAAAATGAGTTGAAAAAGCAAACCCAGATCTGTAATAATAATATTCCTTTCGTTTGATATAGAACAACAACAAATTACATTTATGGAGCGCCTTTTTCCCGTCGGGAGGACGTCCCAAGGCCCTGGACAGTCAGGGATCGGGACCCGAGCATGGGGCTGGGGTGGGGTAGGGCTGAGGGAAGGCAGAGAGGTGGGAGGGCGACCGAAGGCACGATCGAAGAGGAGGGTCTTGAGACCGGCCTTGAAGGAGGCGAGAGAGGAAGCGAGGAAAAGGGACCGTGGGATGGAGTTCCAGGGTGTGGGGGCAGAGCGGCTGAAATTAGGATGGGTCGGGCGGGAGAGCTTGTGAAGCGCTTTGAGATGTTTTACCGTGTTCCTGAATCCCAGAGTTTCTGGAGAGGTTAGTGAATGGTGGGGAGCAGCTGTCGGGCTCCGACATTGAGGGCTCTGAGTTGCCACGGAGACAGAGTGTGTCTGACAATATTTATTAAAAGCACAGTCGCTGGCCGTGGTCTTAACAGCATCGAGGCTTCATAGCCTGGATCTGAGATTACCGCCCGCTCAGCCCCAGAGCTGAGTCTCGCAGAGTGAGAGCGCGAGCGAGTGAGTCAGAGAGCAAAAGAGAGGGGGAACAGAGAGAGAGAGAGAGAGCGAGAGCCACGTCTCAATGCGCATCAACCACAACAGCGTCGACAACTTGCAATTGGAGTTGATCGTGTGGAATGGCGGGACAGGCTCTGAGGGGGGTGGGGGGTGGGGGGAGGAGGCCTGAATGGCCTCCTCCTGTTCCAACGTTTCGGTGTTTCTACGGAGGTGAGGGCACGGAGACGGAATGGAGGAAGGTGCTCGGAATGATGGCTGCAGTCCCAAGAGCGACTAGCAGGCGGCGCTGTCGAGCAGACCATCCTCACTCTCCACCAACAGGGCCACCGGGGACATTCGCAGCGAGTCACGAAAGACCACGACACCATAGTAATAATTCTGATACACAGCTCACTCAATACAGTGCCTTTTTAACCGCATAAAGGCCATCGAACCTTTCACAAGCAATATTAGCGAGACGATAATAATGACCCTCGCCTTCGATCCGGCGCCTGATTACGTCTTCGCGACGTCTCGAAGCGCTTCACAGAATAAACCGTAAAGTGGATCGACTGTGTAATAATAATAATAATAATAATAATCCTCGCATTTGATATAGCGCTTTTCACGTCGGGAGGACGTCCCAAAGCGCTTCACAGAACACACTGTAAAGTGAATTGACCGTATATTTGTGGGCGAACGCGGCAGCCAATGGCGCACAGCAATGTCCCACAAACAGTCGTAGATTGAAAATGACCAATTTATTATTGTTTTTGGTTTTGGAGGGATTATTATTAGGCTCTGTGTGGAGTAAGGAAACTTGCCCAAGGTTTCGCCCTCTGCCTGGAATTGAACTCAGGTCTCTCACTTGCAAAGCGAGTGCTCTAACCACTGAGTTACAGGACTCCACAAATATTTTGAGGGCGAGGAGGTTTCTGTTTGGAAATAACGTCTCGGGGACACAGCATATAGTTCGGGGCTCGACATGTCACGTGGCTGCCAGGAGGGTGGGAGGCGAACGGGGCAGAACCTCGGTCTTCTTTTGTCGAGCGATCCTCGCGCTCTGAGGTTCTTGCGCGTAATCCAATTTGTACTGTTCCTTACAAGATTTTTATTTCAATCCTCAGTGGTGTCACTGATAAAATTCATGTCGCGTGGTAATGAGCTGAAAAAAGTAAAAGAAAGAAAAGAAAAAAAAAATGAATCGCTCAGTCCACGGCTGTTTGCGGGGACGCTGCTGGGCGCCAATCGGCTGCCGAGTTTCACTGCCCCCAAAATGCACAGTCACTACACACTTTGCAGTTTATTCTGCCAAGCGCTTTGAGACGCCTCGACGACGTGATAAGCCGCCGATTCAAAGCCAAGGATTGTTTGTTGTTGTTGTTGTAAGCGTAATGTGTCTCCAGCCGGGGTCGTTGCCTGTCGGAGATTTCGGTGTCCTGTGGGTGTAGACGGGAGCTGTCTGTCTGTCTGTCTGTCTGTCTGTCTGTCTCTGCCTCACTGACCTGTGGGGCTGCGAATGTTTTTCAGCTGCTGACGACGGAGGAAAGGACGCAGGGGACCTGGCCGGCGAGACAGAGGCAGCAGCTCCTGAGCAATGAGGAGCAGGAGGAACAGGAACAGAAGCGATTTAATTCAGATCTCTCTTTCTCTCTCTCTCCACTTTGTACTCTTTCCAACATGTTCTTTATTCTGAGTTAGTTTTACATTTCCATTCGTCACGGGTCACTTCCTCCACTGCGCCCTCCCTCCCCTCCCCTCTCTCTCTCTTTTTCCCCTTTTCTCTCTCGCTTTCCCCACTCTCTCTCGTTCCCCCACTCTCTCTCTCTCTCTCTCTCTCCAATGGCTCGCCACTCTAATAAAGAGATGTCAGTGTCACTGGCGATCGGGTTTGGGGTGGGGTGGGGTGGGGCGGGTGTTGAGGCAGGGCGGGGGGGTGGGAGTGGGGAGGGAGGAAGCCTTGTTCTGATTCGATGCGTCGACCTCGCAATCGAGACCCCCAAGATCCGACCGTGATTCCAAAGCCACGTCAGCCAGACCCAGACAGACAGACAGACAGCAGACAGACAACAGCAGCGAGGGAGGGGGTGGGAGGTGTCCGGTGTCCAGTGGTAATGTCAATGTTACTGTTCTGCGTTGTTTTTTTCCCCCGTTAGGAACCTCAGACAATTTACTGCTATCTGATAAGAGGCCACAGAACCTCAGAGGCGAAGCGAGTGCGATGCCGCACGTGACCCCCGCGCTGCGACCCGACCCGACCCGACCCGACCCGGCGTTTAAAGCCACGGGAACCATTTATTTTTGGGGGGGTTTCGATCTTATTCCGTCCTCTCCGTCAATCGCGTTTCAAACTCGTTGCCCCGCACCCGACAACCCCACACTCCCCCACCCCACCCCACCACTCCCCGCTCCCTCCCGCAGCCCCCGATTAACTTTCGTTCCTTTCGCCCTTTCGCTCTCTGGTGAACGGAAGATTTCTTCCCCTGACGGCTGTTTGCCACGGAAACCCTGTGCTCGGAGGCGGTATATAAGCGCAAGTTGTCGCCGGCGGCGTTGTTGTGGTTAGCGGGACATCGCCTACAAAACGCACAGTCACGACACTTTGCGGTGAAACCCCCCTGAAGCGCTCCGGGACGTCCTCCTGACATGAAAGGCGCTGAATGAAAAGTGAGCATTATCTTACGATGTCAGTTCTTCACAAACCCCCCCCACCCCCCCACCACCTGCCCCACCTTGACGAATCTTCTCGTCTTTTCTGCGAACCCCCACCCGATGCATTCAGTCTCTCATCTGTGGGGTTTCCCCACCCCACCCGCAAAGTTATATCATTCGAAAGCGCTTGATGATATTTCTTGTCAAGTGTAGTGACTGTGTATTTTGTGGGCAGCCGTAAGAAGCGAGGCATCAATTGTTGTCTGTGTGGGGGGGGATTGTTGGCCAGGACACCAAGGTGGGGGGGAAGAGAGAATAGGGCCGCGGGAACTTTAACGTCCGCCTTACCAGGCAGACGGGACCTCAGTTTCTTTGGGTGGGAGTGGGGGGGGGAGATGGAGGGGAAGAGGGAGGGGGAGTGGGGGAGAGAAATTGGTGGAGAGATCACAATCAACTGCGCAGGAACCACGACACCTGGAGCGTTGCCTCGCTGGAGCATTCAGGCTGAATTTCCTCCTTTACTTT